GTGGGGGAAGAGACAGAGGTGGGGGGGAGGAGTCAGAGGGGGAGGAGTCAGAGGTGGGAGGAGTCAGAGGTGGGGAGACAGAGGTGGGGAGAGGAGGCAGAGGGGAGGAGACAGAGGGGGAGGAGACAGAGGGGGAGGGAGAAAGAGGTGGGGAGGAGTCAGAGGTGGGAGGACACAGGTGGGGAGGACAGAGGTGGGAGGACACAGGGGTGGGGGAGACAGAGGTAGGGAGAGGAGGAGGTGGGGGGAGGAGCGAGGTGGGAGGAGCAGAGGTGGAGGAACAGAGGTGGGGGAGGAGTCAGAGGTGGGGAGGACAGAGGTGGGGAGGAGACAGAGGTGGGAGGAGTCAGAGGTGGGGAGGAAACAGGTGGGGGAGAGAGGCAGAGGTGGGAGGAGACAGAGGTGGGGAGGAGACAGAGGTGGGAGGAGCTCAGGAGGTGGGAGGAGTCAGAGGTGGGGAGGAGACAGAGGTGGGGAGGAGCAGAGGTGGGGAGGAAACAGAGGGGGGGAGAGGAGGCAGAGGGGGGAGGACACAGGGGTGGGGGAGACAGAGGTAGGGAGAGGAGGCAGAGGTGGGGGAGGAGACAGAGGGGGGGAGGAGCAGAGGTGGGGGGAGGAGTCAGGAGGTGGGAGGAGACAGAGGTGGGAGGAGTCAGAGGTGGGGAGGAAACAGAGGTGGGGAGAGGAGGCAGGTGGGGGAGAGGAGGCAGAGGTGGGGAGGAGGCAGAGGTGGGGAGAGAGGTGGGGAGAGGAGGCAGAGGGGAGACAGAGGTGGGGAGGAGACAGAGGTGAGGAGACAGAGGTGGGGAGGAGACAGGAACGGGAGACAACTAACCATACGCGAATTCAGAAAAGTGAAAAAATTAGATCAACTCGAGAGGAAAGGGAGAAGGATTATGGAGGGAGAGGGAGAGTAGGAGAGGGGAGAGGAGAGGGGAGAGGGGAGAAAGGGAAAAGAAGGAGAGGAGAATGATGTACAAGGGAAGGGGAGAAGAATACAAGGAGGAGGAGGAGGAGGAAGAAAACGAAAGAGGTGGGACAGTAAGGAGAGAGAATGACAACCTGATGAACGGAAAGAGGATGAGAGAGAGAGAGAGAGAGAGAGAGAGAGAGAGAGAGAGAGAGAGAGAGAGAGAGAGAGAGAGAGTTGACAGCATGACTGGCTCTTGTGGGAGGTAAAGTATAGCTTTTTTATCATATCACAAGAGAAAGGAGAGGTGGTAACGGGTTAGGTCCTGGGAAGGAGGAAGGAAGGAGGGAAGAAGGAAGGAAGGAAGGAAGGAAGGAAGGAAGGAAGGAAGGGAGGGGAGGGAGGAGAGGAGGAGGAATAAGGGAGAGAATGAGGGAGGGAGGAGGGAGGGAGGAGGGGAGGGAGGAGGAAGTGAGGAGAAGGAAGGGGGTGGGGAGGGAGAGAGGAAGGAAGGAAGGAAGGAAGGAGGGAAGGAAGGAAGGGGAGGGAGAAGGAGGGAGGAATAAGGAGAGAATAGGGAGGAGGGAGGGAGGGAGGGAGGGAGGAGGGGAGGGGAGGGGAGGAAGTGAGGAGGAAGGAAGGAAGGAAGGTGGGAGGGAGAGAGGAAGGAAGGAAGGAAGGAAGGAAGGAAGGAAGGAAGGGAGAGAGGAGGAAGGAAGGAAGGAAAGGAAGGAAGGAAAAGGAAGGAAGGAAGGAAGGAGAGAGGAAGGAAGGAAGGAAGGAAGAAAGGAAGGAAGGGGAAGGAAGGAAGGAAGGAAGGAAAAAGAGGGGGAGGTGGGGAGGGAAAAGAGGAAGGAAGGGGAGGGGAGGAGAGAGGAAGGAAAGGAAGGAAGGAGGGAAGGAAGGAGGGAAGGAAGGAAGGAAGGAGGAGGAATGAGGGTTAGGGAGAGGAGGTGGGAGAGTGAGGGAGGAAGAAGAAAGGCACACACACACACACACACACACACACACACACACACACACACACACACACACACACAACAACATCGAACGAGACAAATTACAGACAGACAGACAAGAAACGAACTAACAAAGACCAAGGCGCTAAAATCAGACGACAGAAAGACATCTAGACAGTACCGACGAGGTAACTGGAACTAGACACACACACACACACACACACACACACACACACACACACACACACACACACACACACGGGGTATGAAAGAGAAGTAGTCCAAGGAGAGAACCAACACAGTGAGGGAGAAAGAGAGAGACGGAGAGACAACAAGCTGAGGAGAAAGAGAGATGCTTCAGGTCACGTGTTGGGTGACAGAGACCAGGAGGGGGAGGGGGAGGGAAGGTGGGGGGGGAGGGGGGAGAAAGGGGAGAGAAAGGAAGAGAGAAAGAAAGGGAGGGAAGAAGAGAAGGAGGAGAAGAAGGAAGAGAAGTAAGGGGAGGGGGAGAAGGAGGGAAGAAGCACGTAAATAAACTTCAACAATAACAATTGCATAAAGGGGAATGAGAGAGGGAAGGGTGAGTGTGTGTGTGTGTCAGGAGAGAGAGAGAGAGAGAGAGAGAGAGAGAGAGAGAGAGAGAGAGAGAGAGAGAGAGAGAGAGAGAGAGAAGAAAGGTAAGGGAAAGGTAATGTCAATCAGATCAGGAAGGGAAGAGAGGAGGGGAAAGAGGGGAAGAAGGAAGATGTTAAAGGTAGAGTAAAGGAGGGGAAGATGGAGGTAAGTTAAAGGGGGTAAGGAGGATAAGGAGGAAGGGGAGAGAAAGGAGGTGGTGAGGGGAGAGAAAGAGAGGGAGGAAAGGAGAGGAAAGAGAGAGGAAGAGGAGGAAGGAAAGAGAGAGGGGAGGGGGAGGTCACAAAAACCCTGACATGTGGAGTGGGAGAGGAGGCCACACGGTGAGAGTAATGGAGAGGTGAGGAGAGGGGCTGAAAGAGCTGAGAGGGAGTTTTAAAGAGCTGGGAGAGGGGCGTGGAGAGGTGAGGGATGGCGGGGTGAAGGCGTGGAGAGGTGTGGGAGGATGGAAGAGAGAGAGAGAGAGAGAGAGAGAGAGAGAGAGAGAGAGGAGAGAGAGAGAGAGAGAGAGAGAGAGAGAGAGAGAGAGAGAGAGAGAGGCACCACACCTTGGGGAGAACAACACGCACCAATAAGTTACTGTCAACAACGTGTCCTGCAACTTGTGCCAAGAATATCTCACCAGCCACCTGAGGAACCCACACCCTGACCTAACCTCCGCCCACACACGCCCCCCACCCACTCCTCCCCGCCACACACCCCTCCCCAGATCACAACAAAACATCACCACTTATCAGTCCTCTACACCTCTCTAGCTTAACCCCCCGCCCCATAAATCCCTCACGAACTTCCCTCCCTACCCACGAATTCTCCCTACTCACGAACTTCCTCCCCTACCCACGAACTTCCCCTCCCTACTCACGAACTTCCTCCCCCTACCCACGAACTTCCTCCCTACCACGAACTTCCCCTCCCCTACTCACGAACTTCCCTCCCTACCCACGAACTTCCACCCCTACCTATGACACACGTCCCTCCACACCCCTGCCTCCCCCATCACTGATTACCACCTAGCAAAGACAGTAGCGGGTGAGAGAGCCGAAATAGCAGAGGTAACAATGGCAGTATTCTTCTTGGGAGGACAACGGCGGTGCAGAACCCACTGTATCCCGCCCTGCCCCACCCCTGACCCGCCCTGCCCCTGCCCCTGACCTGCCTCTGCCCCACCCTGCCTGCCCTGCCCCACCCTGCCCTACCTGCCTGACCGCCTGCCCTGGCCCCACCCTGACCCGCCCCTGCCCTGCCCCCAAAACAACACAATCCCAATTAAAGGCGTTGTAATATTCGGTCAGGTGGTCGTGCTCACCTGATGAACAATTTATTACCTGCCATGGAAGGAGAGAGAGAGAGAGAGAGAGAGAGAGAGAGAGAGAGAGAGAGAGAGTAAAAAAAGAAACATAACCTTGAAGTAATGACTCCTAACACGGACTCTCTCGCCTGGGTTCTTTACCAAACAAAAGATTAATAAATATTCAAATAGTGATCCTACAATTTGTCGTATATATACTGTGTTGTATTATAAGGGCAGCGGCGCCTACCTCACCTCACCTCACCTCACCTCACCTCACCACCACCTCCTCCTCTCCCCTCACTTCACCAGGGGTCGAGATCTGTAGGTCGGTGGTACTGGCTGGATCCGTCCTCATCTGCCCCCAGTCATAAATTCTTCCTAAGCGTCACACTGAACCACTTGGGCTCCACGCTTCAACATTCATTCAGTTAAAATTCCATGGTTTTTTTTTTATTCACAATTCCTAATATGATTATAGTAAGGATAGTTAATTGATTTCTATTATTCACACAGGTAACGACGATATTTCAGGTGTCATCTCGAGATTAACGAAGATATAATGTGTGTAATATATTTGTTAACATACACAGTACACCTTGGTGATAAAGCTTCCATCAGGTGTTGCTACCCTGGAGTTACTGTAGGTTCTGGGATGATGTCTACCACACTTACAACTATCACCTGTCTACCACACTTACAACTATCATCTGTCTACCACACTTACAACTATCACCTGTCTACCACACTTACAACTATCACCTGTCTACCACACTTACAACTATCACCTGTCTACCACACTTACAACTATCATCTGTCTACCGCACTTACAACTATCACCTGTCTACCACACTTACAACTATCACCTGTCTACCACACTTACAACTATCACCTGTCTACCACACTTACAACTATCACCTGTCTACCACACTTACAACTATCACCTGTCTACCACAATTACAACTATAACACTCTACCATCTCCTTTGTGTTCCAGGATGGTGATGGTGTGGAAGTTGATCATCATTACAACCACCCCACTAGCTCACCATGTTGGCTACAGTCACCACCTCACGACAAGATTACAACTGGAGCAGAAGAACCCACCTCGAAGTTTCCTCCCACTTAGTGAAACAAACCACCCCAATGAAGCGAGTGTCTATAAGTAAACAACAACAACCTTACAACCAATCAGCATTACAACAACTTACCGGTGGTGGGTGTGGCGTCCCTCACAGCGTCGTGGGCGGAACTGGAGTTGTTATTCTTGTTGTTGTTGTTGTTGTTGGAGGAGGAGGACAGGGCGGCATGGCGGAGGCGCGAGGTGCGATTGGTCCTTACGCCCATCACCACATCCTCAGACGACGAACCGCCCACCAGACGCCGTCCACGACCTTCAAGCGAGGACCCGTTCTCCTGAGGCCTGTGGGGGCGAGAAGAACACGACTCAGTGGGGGGTGGCCAGGCAGGACACGCCCCGTTCCCCCAAACACAACACAACCAAATGTACACTCCTCAAGGCTGTGTGTGTGTGTGTGTGTGTGTGTGTGTGTGTGTGTGTGTAATAATAATAATAATAATAATAATAATAATAATAATAATAATAATAATTAACGGTTTATTGAAAGAGCTTGGCCAGCCAGAAGGCTGAAAATATACAGTTATATTTGGGGAATGGGTTTCGAATTACAAATAATATACAAGTAACATAAGTGACACAAATAAGACATATAATAACTAGATGGGGAAAAGCTCAAACTACAGTTCGTTTCAACATAGTGACAGTGCAAGGAGTAGTGTTTACTGGGAGTGAATACACTGGTTTATTAGTTATTGATAATTTTTACAATGGTTGGGACTGGGCTGTTCTTATAGCGATCAGTTCGTGCACGTATGGGCTGGATGCGGTTGTGGTGTCGAACAGCAATTCTCGGACTAGGGATCTCAGGTGGTAGTAGGAGCCGGTGTCGAGGATGGTGTAGAAGCTTACCAAATTTGCAGATGAGGTCGTGGTGATGGTCAGTGAGAGTCGAAAGGGTCAGTGTGTTGAGCGCTTTTGATATGTGGAGTAGGAAGGGAGAGAATAATCTTGCATGCCCTCTTTGCACTTTTTCTAGGTGTTTACGTTGTGTGGCATTTAGGAGGAAGACCAGGTGGGGAGGCATAGGTGAGCTTGGGAAGTATGAATGTTGTGTAAACACTGAGGAGCTCGTGCAGGAACTCCGAGGGACTTGAGTCGGCGGAGGAGGTGGAGACGGAAACTGGAGGATTTGACAACTTCACTGACGTGTGGTTTCCAATTTAGTTTGTTGTCTATGGTGACGCCGAGGAGCTTCGTGGAATCTACAACCTGGAGTGTGTTCGGACCTAGAGTAATGGAAGGAGGTGGGACAATGTCGGAGGAGAGGTTGATGTGCATAAGCATGGTCTTGGTATGGTTGATGTGACATGGTTGTTGGTGGCCCAGTTTTGGAGACTGTTCAATAAATCCTGAAGGGCGGTATAGTTGGAGCAGAATTGTTGACGCTGATCCCAATGGTGGAGTCGTCGACATATTTCCAGCGAGCAGGGGTTTCTCTTAGGGCATCATTGATGAGCATAAGGAAGCAGAGTGGTCCATCTTGGTGCTTGGGGACGCCAGGTGAGTGACTGAAAGGTGGAGACAGCCCCTCGGAAGCGTACAGCTTGGCGTCGGTCACTGAGGAAGTCTGGTTATGGTATAAGACTTCTCCGAAGCCCGAGGTCAATAGCTTTGTTGATGATTATATTGTGGTCGACTAGGTCGAACGCTTTAGTGAAATCAATGAAGGCGACAGCTACAGACGTTTTTCGTTTCTCGAGATGGCGGTATATGTAATCGAGAAAGCTGACAAGACAGTGAGTGGAGGAAGTTTCATGTTGCCAAATTGCTGAGGGTCTACGACTCCTGCAATATCAGCATAAGCCCAGTCGAACACAAAACTTTCACAGATTAGGCTGGGTATTGGGGTGATTGCAATAGGTCGTAGCTGATTAGGATTGTGGGCTGTTGACTGTGTGTGTGTGTGTGTGTGTGTGTGTGTGTGTGTGTGTGTGTGTGTGTGTGTGTGTGTCAAGGCGAAATTTGAACGTAATTGTAGGCAAGACGAGAGTGAATGGAGACATGTGTACGACATATATTGGGGGTAACGTAGGCAAGATTAACGCTATTAAAATATAATACGGTCAACACAATTAATCTCTATTCATAAAAACCCTCCCATTAGTCTGGTCTTCCTTCTACCCCCCCTACACACACACACAGGGCACCACCTGCCAGCGATACAACACACAAGAAGCCATTTAATCTCCACAAATTAGACTCTGCTGCCCCAGTATTAAGCGACACACACACACACACACACACACACACACACACACACACACACACACATACGCGAGCGCACACATATACATACATAGACACCCTCGCATACATACATACAGATAGACACACACACAGAGTTGCTTTGCATGATCCCACGCTGCTAGAAGCTTAAATATCTAATGCCTTCGCCACTCCCGACACGCCAAATGCCTGTATGTTTTGAGCCAGCAGACAAGGGGGAGGTTTGCAAGCATTCAAGTGACAGCGAAAAACACCGAAATATTTTACAAGTTGTGTGAATAGGATGACGCTAAAGGTGTAGACAGTCCGCTGAATGCAAGAGGAGGCTGGTGTCTTAAGTGTCTCAACCCAATTACTTACAAAACATGAACAAGTAAAGTATTTAACTGTGGAGAAAAGTGACATTAAGTTGGAGCCATCTGTAAGTGTATAAACCCAATTACTTACAAAACAAGAACATGGTAGATATTATTTAAGTAAGCTGCTAAAAAGTGGCGTCAAGTGTATTAAGTTATTATGATAATCTAAGTGTTCATTGAGTGAGTGAGTGAAAACTATACCACGCATAGAGAGGGAGGAGGTACTGAGAAGAAGAAGCAGAAGAAGAAAGAAAAAGAAGAAATGAGCAGAGGAGAGAGAGAGAGAGAGAGAGAGAGAGAGAGGCGTGGCGAGGTGTTGACTGTGTCTCCCTCTCGCCCCTCTCCTAAGTCCAACGTGAGTGAAATAATGACAGGCCCTCTACCCCCCACTCACCACCCTCATGAGTGGGTTGTGAAGTGTTTCCTTTTCACCAAACTTAAAAGTGAAGTCTGGTTTGAGTGCACTGATCACCTCTGACTATACAAGAGCTAAGGGAGCGGTGGCCGAGTCAATACAGCACTCGCCTTCTGTCCTATGGGTATACTGTATCTGTTTCTAGCCACAGGGCAATGTGTCGTAAAGGGATAACTATAACTTAAACACCAGAAAAAGTCTAAGGTATGCTGTATTTACACTGCCTATGATGACGTACTTCGCTCAAAACACACATGAGCATTCTCCGTATATGCTAACATAAGCTAAAGGTGCTGGAGATATAAATGTGTGATGATATTCTAAAATGTTGGGAGTTTGTCTGTAGCTGTATAGGGTCCGGCGTGTGTCAACCCCTGGACTGAACTTAACAAGAGGGGACCAAAAATTGATCACTGGTTATATTGAGTTGCCTGTCAAAATTATATCCCTCATGGACTAAGAAAAACCAGTCAGGTCAGGAGAGACACGTGCTGGACTGATTAAACGCAGCCAAAATGACACAGAGGAGTGTTTGGGTGGGTGACCGAGCCTCACAGTACAGTAGGAGAGTAGCTTACCTCTTGGCGTCGTGCGGGGAGAGGTCGGTGGAGGAGGTGTCAGCGTCACGGCCCTTGCGGCGCCTCCTACGATAGGCCAGGAAGGAGGACTCCTCTCCTCCCGCGCTCTCTTCTGACGACGACCACTCCGCCGTCCCGTACCTGCCGGAAGGACTCATTATACACCACTATTCATTTTTGGGGTATGAAAAAAAAACCCAGACTTGTGTAAAATTCAAATGACATTAAAATATAAACAGGAAATCCAAGTAACTTTGTGAAGAGTTGTAAAAAACACTCCATCACTACACTAGACACTGTGACCCCGCCAACAAAAGTGTGACAGGTGTACGGAGGGACTGATAGGTGATCAATATATCCCGTGTACAGCATTGGGGAGGGGGGGGAGGGCAGAAAATTATAGTATAAGAACACAATAGAACCCAGATGGTAACAGCCCGTACAGGCAGGCAAGTGACAATACAATACAAATGTCTACAGAAGAGCTTTGTTCTGGGTAACTGCCTGTGCGACAAGATCCGTGTACCGTGTTGAAATATCTGGGTGGTGTTGAGTGTTCGTAGTTACTGTGATAATACACACGTGTACACTGTCTTATGGTGAGAGGGTGGAGGCTCACCTGGCAGCTATCTGCTTGCGTCGCTCGTCCTTGTACCGTTGTATTCTCTCCCGCCGCTCTAGTTCGGCCCTCTCAGCCTCAGACAGGTCAGTGCGAGACCCTCCCCCGGCCCCTCCTCCACTGCTGTTTTGCTGCACCATCCTGCTGTTACTGCTGCTGCTACTACTACTGCTGCGGGCGGGAATAACAGAGTGAGATTACTTAAAGGATAATGCTACCACAGCTGTATTTTTAGAGGTATACAAACATGTTATAACAGGATAACGCTGCAGCTGTTGTTGTCGGAGGGATACAGTCTCACCCTGTAACTGAATAACAACAGGAAATATACTGACGCAGACCTCTTGGCCACGTGTTACTAACCAAAGAATATAACGTAAAACACAGCACTGCGTTCCTGGTAACCTGGATAATGTGTGTGTGTGTGTGTGTGTGTGTGTGTGTGTGTGTGCGCGTGTGTGTGTGTGTGTGTGCAGACCATCGTGGGAAAACAGTGCTAACTCCCTCGCTTGCACCAATTAAGACAGTCAGTCAATCACCATTAACAACCGTCACTTGCTCCATCTCTCTCCCAGGTGCTGACCAACAACACGAGAGAGGGTCAAGGCCTGAGAGAGAGATAAAGAGTCTGTCTGGCCAAACAACCTCTCGGTGTCTCGCGGTGGAGAGAACAAACACAAATCAAGATGGCCATCAAGACCCACAGAGTTCATGGGTCGTGTACAGTTAATGTCACTAATTCGCCAAGAAACGAGAAGTATTTGTCCGTTTCGTTCTTTCCCACAGCGGCAGAAGACCTTGGACGAGTAGTGGACAAAAGTACCAATAAAATATCTCAAACCAACAAAAATAGTTGTCCTTTTGTCGACGTCTCCAGGTGTGTCATAAACCTATATGATAAGATGTTAACCTATAGTCTCGGGCCTAAGGTGACCTAACATAACCTCTATTGACCTCCAACTACTACTACCACCCACACAATTTATCCAGGATCCGTTACTAGTGAATGACGTATCACCAAACAATAGGATTAAGAGGCAATTAAACCATTAAGATAATTAAAGATTCATTAACTTCAGCCGTAATGTTTTCTATTCATCATAAAGGTCCATTGTATAAATTATAGAATAACATAAGTTGCTTTAGAGTTTGTCGCGTTAGGAGTTCTTCTTACGGGGTCTAACTCTAAGTACAAAGGTCGTTATATTGTCCTCAGGTATGGCGGGACACTGTGGCGGTAATGTCAGGTGGCGGGTAAAGGAAGTTACATAGGTTAGGTATAATACTAACCGTGACGATTAAGTAAAGCTAAACTGTAAGGGTTAAGTAAAGCTAAACAGACGGTTAAATAAAGTTGTGACGGTTAAGTAAAGCTGTGACGGTTGAGGGAAGAAGCTGTGACGATTGAGGGATGTGAACTAAGGTGGTTAAGTCCTGTATACAAACCACCGCTACTAAGGCTATACCCAGGACAAGCATCCGATCACACACGACTATATTATACAAAGGTCAATACAGTTCCTACCCTAACAATAACTAACAGCTTAAAACACATACAATTACAACTTCCTCGTGTTGAAAGGTACTCATAAATAATCTCCAGCAAGTCCGTGGTGAGTCTCAGTACAGTAACAAATGGAGTGAACAAAACACACAATGAAATGACTGGTTGAGAGTTATATAAAGCTTTGAATGACTGGTTGAGAGTTATATAAAGCTTTGAATGACTGGTTGAGAGTTATATAAAGCTTTGAATGACTGGTTGAGAGTTATATAAAGCTTTGAATGACTGGTTGAGTTATATAAAGCTTTGAATGACTGGTTGAGAGTTATATAGAGCTTTGAATGACTGGTTGAGAGTTATATAAAGCTTTGAATGACTGGTTGAGAGTTATATAAAGCTTTGAATGACTGGTTGAGAGTTATATAAAGCTTTGAATGACTGGTTGAGTTATATAAAGCTTTGAATGACTGGTTGAGAGTTATATAGAGCTTTGAATGACTGGTTGAGAGTTATATAAAGCTTTGAATGACTGGTTGAGTTATATAAAGCTTTGAATGACTGGTTGAGAGTTATATAGAGCTTTGAATGACTGGTTGAGAGTTATATAAAGCTTTGAATGACTGGTTGAGAGTTATATAAAGCTTTGAATGACTGGTTGAGAGTTATATAGAGCTTTGAATGACTGGTTGAGAGTTATATAAAGCTTTGAATGACTGGTTGAGTTATATAAAGCTTTGAATGACTGGTTGAGAGTTATATAGAGCTTTGAATGACTGGTTGAGAGTTATATAAAGCTTTGAATGACTGGTTGAGAGTTATATAAAGCTTTGAATGACTGGTTGAGAGTTATATAGAGCTTTGAATGACTGGTTGAGAGTTATATAAAGCTTTGAATGACTGGTTGAGTTATATAAAGCTTTGAATGACTGGTTGAGAGTTATATAGAGCTTTGAATGACTGGTTGAGAGTTATATAAAGCTTTGAATGACTGGTTGAGAGTTATATAAAGCTTTGAATGACTGGTTGAGAGTTATATAGAGCTTTGAATGACTGGTTGAGAGTTATATAAAGCTTTGAATGACTGGTTGAGTTATATAAAGCTTTGAATGACTGGTTGAGAGTTATATAGATGACTTTAAATGACTGGTTGAGAGTTATATAGAGCTTTGAATGACTGGTTGAGAGTTATATAAAGCTTTGAATGACTGGTTGAGAGTTCTATAGAGCTTTGAATGACTGGTTGAGTTCTATAGAGCTTTGAATGACTGGTTGAGAGTTATATAAAGCTTTGAATGACTGGTTGAGTTATATAAAGCTTTAAATGACTGGTTAAGAGTTATATAGAGCTCTGAATGACTGGTTGAGTTATAAAAAGCTTTGAATGACTGGTTGAGAGTTATATAGAGCTCTGAATGACTGATTGAGAGTTATATAGAGCTCTGAATGACTGGTTGAGAGTTATATAAAGCTTTGAATGACTGGTTGAGAGTTATATAGAGCTCTGAATGACTGGTAGAGAGTTATATAGAGCTTTGAATGACTGGTTGAGAGTTATATAAAGCTTTGAATGACTGGTTGAGAGTTCTATAAAGCTCTGAATGACTGGTTGAGAGTTTTATAAAGCTCTGAAAGACTGGTTGAGAGTTCTATAAAGCTCTGAATGATTGGTAAGAGTTTTATAGAGAGCTGGCGGGCTTTAAAATGTTGCCAAGACGCTCTAAACAAGTTACTGATCTAGCCTACGTGATGAGTGAATAGAGGCTCACCTTATTCTCTTCTCCGGGGAGCCTGAGTGGCCGCCATAGTGTTTGTCTGTGGTTCTCTTATCTTTCTCCTCTTCTCTTTTCTTCTGCTTCTCGGGGCTCTTTCGTCTCTCCCTCTCCTCGCTTCTTCTCCTGTCCTCACTCCTCCGTTTTTCTCGCTCGACGCTCCGTCTCTTCTCCCGTTCAATACTTTTCCTCCTCTCCCTCTCCTCACTCTTCTTCCTCTCCCTCTCCTCACTCTTCTTCCTCTCTCGGTCTTCGAAGGATTTTCTCTTCTCACGTTCTAGGGATTTCTTTCTCTTGTCTTTATCTGCGTTTGTCTGTGTCTTCTCTTTACCAGCTCTCTGTCTCTCCCTTTCCTCAATTTTCAACCTATCATATTCTAGTTTCCTGTCCTTCCTCTCTCTCTCCTTCAGTCTCTCTGTCTCTGAATTCCGTTCAGGTTTGCTTCCCTCACGTCTCTTCTCCCTCTCCTTCGGTCTCTCTCCCTCACTCTTCCGCCTGACCTTCTCCTTGGCTCTCTCTGCCCCACTCTTCTGCGCCTCCCTCAGCGGCGAGCGACCTGAAACACACCAAAAGGAACAAGTCAGGATAAAAATTGTAACGAAATACTGTCTGCAAAAAGGAGGGAGAGAGAACTTTTAAGTGTGAAAGTTGACTGGTTAAAAAAGTAAGAGCCCTGAAGGGAAAGGTTCAAGCAGGTGGGGGCGAGGAAGAATGGGGAGGAAGGGAGGGGGGGATGTGCAAGGTTGCCAACAGCTACATAGGCGCCACCCACCAGACATATAGGAAACTAGGGAACAATTGTCCTAAAAGATGGCGCAGTAAGAGGTTTAGACAACACTGACAGCGGTTAGAGATTTACGAGACATATATATATATGGAACCACTGCTAAAAAAAGACAATCTCAACCAAAATACTCTGAACAGCGACACACAAAAAATAAACATCAATATTAACCCACCAACTGCACAATGACGACCCACCAACTGCACAATGACGACCCACCAAATGCACAATGACGACCCATGAAGAAACTCCACCAAGTCACTTATCAACAGTGATGGACGCAACTAGAGATTACTGAAGAACACCTAGGACAAAAAATATACTCTAACCACGCCCACTGGCAATCGTAGTGGCCATGTGGCAAAATATAAAAACTACGTGTAAAAGGAAGTCACGAACAAATTATAAAACTTTAAATGTGAACCAAACTGTGGCTAATTATATTGCATCTAGTCAGTTTTTTTTCTGTACTCGTGCATGATGTGATAACATGGTGTAAAGCTAATTAAATTCTTTGTTCAATATTCCTAATTATAGATGGCGTTCAAGGTAGCTCACCAGACATCATCATCACTTCAGTTAAATAATCAAATATCACATAACGTCGGTTCCTAGTCTTTATTTTAGTGTACATGACTATGTTTATTTATACCGTACAGGGAGTTGATAGATCTTTAGTAAATAACACACACATATTTTTGCCCAATGTATATTTTCAGCTTTCGGGCTGCAGAACTTTTTTCAATAAACCGTTAACTTTTATTATTATTATTATTATTATTATTATTATTATTATTATTATTATTATTATTATTATTATTATTATTATTATTATTACACACACACATTTCATTTTATTTACATTACATAACAAGAATCCTGGTGGTGAACGACTGATCCCACATAACAGCTACAACCATCGAGTCTGTAATAATTATTTTAGTATGACCTAAAAGTCATCAGTTTTCATAGAACGTTTTCTCTAACCCGACTAGTCTGATACAGTAAAAACATATAGTTACTTATATAAATCTAAATAACTACAAGGTTAGATTTTTAATTCCCACAAGTCACCAACAGACACCCCCTCATAGATTTAAGGCCATCTTGACTATGGGAAGCCACCTTTCAATACCTCTGTCGGGGAGGCGAAATGGTGTGATGGCCTCAGACTCTCTTTATACTCATATAAATACACACACATTAATAAAGGTCAACCAGCTCCTGCCTCGTATAATCATTTACTCGAGATGTAATGTACTTCTAATATTTTAATTCAGCGGCTGGCCAGGACTCATATCTAAAGGTTAATGTGTGGTATTTTAACTGGGAAAATAAAAGATTAACTCAACACGGAAAAACTCAGTTAGGAGGCTAATGAAATGTGGTAACTGTGTCTGTTGTGTGAGCAGCTTTCCAACGCATTAAATTCTGAAGGTCTTATTATTCAGTTTGTGGAAAGAAACGCATTACTCAATTTACCTTACCAATAATAAGTTAAAACAGGTTTCTTTAAGATTCATAGTGGCAAGAATAATTACGTTTCATGAATCAAAACCCACACCAGGAGACGGTGTTTTATAACTAGGGATTCGATGTTCTCTAAGGTTCATCAATAACAAATACAAAAATGAAAGCAGTGAAGAATGTTAACGTTGTACTGCGCTTGAACGTAGCCCAAATTAATACTGAAAGCAATCATAAATAATTAAACTGAAAAAGAGACTAATCTCAATCTTCCTGGACAACACACACACACACACACACACACACAGACGACCAACACTATTACTTGGGAGCCCAGGCAATCCTCAATGATTTTGCGGGTTTGTTTGAACAGGAAAATACATAAACCTGCTAACATGAACAAACACACGCTGATATGGAAGCACTGTGTAAAGTGACATTTTTAGACATTGCAGAAACAAAATAAAACTTTACACAATCCTAGAAACTTTGCAGCGTAATTAATCATCTTCCTAACCTATCTAACAATAAAACCCATATTACTTACCAAATGTAACTTCTGAGCCGGTACTGTTTTAAACATACTTAAGCTTCACATCAAATTACTACCTTAAGTGCTTGTCTCTTTAAAATTACTTGTACGTGTATCCTAGTGAGCAAAAGTTGACTACCGTTATGTTTGGATATACGCCAGGTGATGCAATTGTATTTTTATTCTCATATAATCATTTTACAACTCAGAGATCACTCACCATAGCTGCTACAATCAGAAAAGTAAGTGTTCTATAGTAGACGGAGGAAACAACACGCCCAGCGCACAACTATACACCGTTTTGCTGAACTTACCGCTGTGTTCTTTGAATGAAAACATTACGACAAGTATATTCTCGTTTTATTTTCATATTTCAACACTACGTATAATATCAAATTATTTCAATCTCAACCAAGAAGCAGTCTCATCTGGGATATAGTTTACTACAAACTCTAGCCGTTCACACCTCACCACTGTCCATTGGTTACAATTTCCTGCCCTCTCCGTGAAGCAGAAAAGGCTTACATAGCAACCAACTTATTTATCTAAAGACAATAATAGACAAAATATTCGTCTTCATAGTTATAATAAACTTATCCAAAGCTATCCATATTAAATTTAACTTTGGTTATTAGCCAAGGTTAAGTTTTATTTTGTTGGATTAGCGCCGTGTGCTAGAGGTTAGTGTCTTCAGCTCTAAACTCCTCAACCAGCATTAAGCCTTAACACCTGGCTTCTGTAGGAGTACGGACATAAAAATTTGAACTCCGCCATCATATGATTTATTAATTATTCTATATCTATATTGCACAACTCTATCACATATGACTTACTGGCCTCCCTACATAGACGCAGTGTCACATATTCAAAATAATCAAACCGGATAGTGATAAATGTTAGATTACTTTCTCGAAATATGCAAGCACAACAAAAGTTTTCCTATCAGTTCTATTACTCTTATAAAATCCATACTGGGGTAGTGTGATATACAAAACTCGTGTACATCGTCAATTAAATCATTCTTCCGTTTATTATATTTTTACCGTGAAAAAATCTGAGCACTACCTTTCTTAATTGTCCTTCAACGAGCGAGTAAAAAAATATAAGTTCAAGTGTTATGATTGCAGCGTTGATATTATCCAAACTCACAATATTTACTTTCATTTTTTTTAGGTTAAAGCCGAAAAAAATATTTGTAAAAAAGAACTAAATCCGTCTGGCAATAAAACCGTTACCCCTCAAAGACGCTTAATGCGTTCTCTGTCACAAAGCTTATTTCTCGGTTTTCCTTACCAAAAGCACTAAAGAGGCAACTATTGTAGTGTACTGACAATATATACAAACAAAATGGCCAAACATTGGTTAAATACTACAAATAAAACTACTCCGTCATCTTTGTTTTATAATGATATCGCCTGACCCGACTGAAACTGAATCTTAAATTCGACTAGTTCACAGTGCCACTTAATAAAACCCCCAGGCTTCTAATACTAAACTAAACTAAATTACTCAACTACTTAACAAGAGTCGTGTCGCATTTATTTCTCTCTCTATTGCACATTTTATAACCCTTGTTCTGCCCGAGTCACACCATGATCCGGGCCATCTTTAATGTGCTTATGAACGGGCCCGCCTGCACCTCGTCCAGAGCCCAATAAAAAGTGCTTTGAAGACTCTCTAAAAGATTATGAAATTCCTAACAGCGTTTATGGGGATTCCAGAACGCTTTTATTATGACTATTATTACTATTACAGCTCCTCACTAAAAGCGGGATGGCCATTATTATTATTATTATTATTATTATTATTATTATTATTATTATTATTATTACTCGTATTATTATCATTACTCGTATTATTATCATTATTATTATTGTTAAACTGGATGCATTTACCCTGACAAGCATAAGAGTGTCTCATTTATTTACAAACAACAGTTGGTTGTAACACTAGTCAACAGCCGTGCAATGAAAGATTGTATTTTTAGCCAGTGTGAACAGTAGCAGGGAGGTAAGCCAACCACTGACGGAGTGATGCGGGCACAGGCGTGGGTGGGTGGAGGAGGAGCACTTGACGACCATCTCTCCACTACTGGTTGTTACATCACCAAGTTAACCTCATGATAGTGCCCCCATGGTGAGCCCTGTCCCTGAGTCACCCTGTGTGTGTGTGTGTGTGTGTGTGTGAGTATTACCTATGCTGCCACAACCTCTTATTAATATTATAACAATACTCATTACCAACCCACAACCCTGTAACTACTGTCGAGACTACAATGTTTACTATATTTTCTCTTGATAATTGTTTCCAGCTGGACACATTAGGTTCCTGCCCGGATATACTAGATATACTGTAATTATACTTGGCTCGCAGTGTAAAATCTTGTTGAGAATATTTTGATCCAATTTTCCCTCACAAATTCTGAACATACAAACAGGTATTTTGTCCCATAGCTCTTAATAAAATTCAATTAATCTCGGCGATATTTTACACAAGTTATGAACAAGTAACGCCCTCTGTTGACCGATACATCTTATATTACAGTTATGATACGTAATTTATCACGACCAGGCTTCTCTGGGTATTGTTAAGTAAATATCTAAAGATAAAGTGGAATCTCTGGGCAATTTTGACGTCATGTTTGATATCATTTTTGCACTCCTCCATCGCCTGTCACCACGTCAGTGTGTGTACGAACTTCAGAACATCCGGGAACAGGATTCTACCTTGATTTTTTCCCGTCTAACAGAAAATGTGGGAGATGGGTCTAACT